GCAGAATTCCTGTATCAGATTCATATTTGGCCTTAGACGATATGACCATGTCACTCCCTATTTCAACCTGCTTTCATTAATGAGGCTAAATGAACTTCGGGAATTTCACACCCTCCGTCTTCTACACTCCATTATCAACAGTAAAATTCCTAAGTATTTATCAGATAACTTCCATTTCATCTCTGACATCAGTACCCGTTCCACTCGTAGAGGCTCTCTTCTTTTATCTACACCAATTCACCGGTCAACAGTTTTTAATAAATCTTTCTTAGTATCTGCAATTCGAATGTGGAATTTTCTTCCTGACCATATAAAATCCATAGAGAACCGTGCAAGGTTTGGGGCAGAGATAAAATCTATGATTTTGAGTAGCAGGCATGAATGAGTCTCTGGCGCTGGTGTGGCGGGTTGTTGGCGGCTTGTGTGAATGGACTTTTGGGTTTAAATTTAATTTAATTTAATTTCAACATTTTTATAATATGGTACCTTAGATTATTTAATTTTACTTATAAAGTGGATAGTTTATTTATGTTTTTAGAGGTTAAGTGGTAGAGAGGACTTGCTAGTCCTAACTTCGCCTCTTAAATAAAGACATTTTTCATTTCATTTCATTTCATTTCATTTCATTTCATTTCATTGTGTGGATTACGAGCACAAACAGTCTTTGCTACTCTCAAAATCAGCTTAAGCTTCATGTGGCCATCTACAGTTCTCAAGCAATGACGTACTTTGCGCTCTTAATACACAAGAAATAGCGAGTGCATTAAAAACAATAGGCTGCTTGCATGTCCAAACAAACGCATGTGTCCTGTTTCGCTCAACAAGAACACTGTTACGGTAATGTAAGTTATCCTTTTATCAAGAATAATAGAAATTGTGTAACGAGTTTGAGGAGGGTAAATGTTCAAACAGATGAATTTTTACATTGCAAACCTGTGATAAAACTTTTAAAAATGAAATATTTGATAATTTAAAACCAAAAACGTTGTTGTGATTATTTGTATCGTAATGAAAAGTAGGCCTATTGTTCACTAACTTACTCGTCATGAATGCATCATTTTGGGGCTCTATGTTAGAAACGACGTTAGGCTCTGCCTCCCCTCGGAAACCCCTCCTAAAATTAAGAATTAATTCTAAAATTAAGTGGGCCTAAATACCCTTTTACGCCACACGCAGGTATTTTAAGACTAAGTCATTAGATTTAAGAATCGGTACTGGTTAGGTAGGTAGGATACTAGCAACAAGTTGATTTACAGAAACTTCACAACTTGTTCATGATTCGAATTTGTGAGGGCTTTGTAATGGGTGTTAATAATTTGTATTAAGGAGTCCTAAGGCTTTGTATTATTACTCAGAGTAAGATTTTGTAGTACTAAGTTAACTTATGAACGAAGGACAGTGTTGTACTTATCAACCCTTAAATCTAACTTTGGCTGCAAAGCTTATTTAAATCAAGTGATTTGATAAAACCTTATCTTTCTTATGGATCGTACAAGTTTAAAACTCATTCACTGCATTATAGATATGGATTTTGTTGTTATAATAGGTGTCAGTCATTATAAACTTACCTTAGTTATAGACTGTTTTGATTGGAGTGTGCATAGCTGTCTTCTTTATTCCCTGACAGTAGATGATTTCTACATCGAATACAAAACTACCGGCTAGCTTATAATATTCTACCGAAAATTATTTTATTTGCTCCGAAATCAACACTAGTTAACACAACCCTCTGTTGAATCTTCTCTATTATTTCATGTTATGTTATGTTGTTCTTTTGTATTCTATATAAATTACATTCCTACCTGACTGACTGACTGACAATAATTGAAGAACTGAACTCGAACTGACACTGACGTAAACTCAAACAAACCAGATGGTATTTGTTATTCATCTGTCACCTGGTTGGAGACAGACTGTTAGGAAAGTAATACTGCATACAACCGTTGAGCACGTTTCTCAAAGTAGTTTATTTTATTTTACCTTCCAACGGTCAAGAACTAATTTATAATATGGTATACAAGATGACTTAATCTAACTTAAACATATACATACAAAGTAATTTTTGAAAATGACTTGCAGTAAAGTAAATACAATTTGAGCAGTATCAAAAAAGGAGAAAAACGGGCTTGAACTGTAGTATTTACAAAATATTTTAGTTTATAGTAGTGCAACTATATCAATCAAAAACACTCAAAAGAGGAGAAGGTATTTGCTGTATTTGCGGAAACTTAATTATACATATTTTTCGTAACCCTTTACTTCAATTAAAACTTAAAATCAGGGTTAATCAGTTTGGACTCCAGAAACTTTTGAAATTATGCAGTGGGTCTTGGAGTCAGGGCTACAGGGAGTACAGTACTAAAACGCCCTAGTCAAGAATAGGTTGATGCCTGCAACTGCAACCGCATATTTGTTGAACGCTTGTCTAAATGATTCTCTTGTTTACATTTCTCTTGTTAATTCATAAAACTGTCATAGCTACTTTAGTCCCATAAGCCTTATGTTAAAAATTGGAAATTTTAAGTTAGTTTTAAATTGCATTAGCATTATCTCTCTCTCTCTCTCTCCTGGCCACCACGAAATCTAATGCGCAGACTCACCAGCGCTGTGTTCATGAAAATACGTTTACATACATCACTAATAATAACAACCCTTTTATTTTTAATTGCCATTCCACAAATTCAATAATTTACTTTTTTCTATTTGACAGCAACTTAGCAGACGCACAGGTAGCACTGCCTATGTCTGCTAGTTCCATTTGTCTATTGTTGAATATTTTGGCTCATTAAAACTTGTATGTATTTTACTATTTTTAGTGTCATAAGTCTCTATTAAGTATATTTGATTTTATAATCACTGTTTGTAGCCAATGTTTTTTGGAATAAACTATATATTCATTCATTCATTCATTCATTCATTCATTCATTCATCTAATTGAAATTTGTTTGTTTACAAACCGTCTCTAGTCTAAGTAATCTTGTTAAGTTTGGCTGAAATACGTTCAGCCGTTATTGAGTGATGGTGTTAAATTGTTTGCATTGAAGTTGATCCCAAAGAGCTTCGCTCAACAAGACTACAAGATCGCGCCACTCATCCTACACTCATCTCCATTCATACTTGTCTTAAAATACCTTCTTTGTATAGTCGCCATTTAATTGAAAAGTATTAAGTATACATTTAATAACACGTAAAATGCTGATCGAGAAGTTAAGCTAGTCGAGGTAAAAAATATACAACAACAAGCAAACTTCTCATTGGTTGTTTAAATGAGTTTTACAAATGTGGCTGTGTCCTACAAAAAGCAAAATCTGTATAGGCCACTGTAATCATGTTCGCGCCTCAATAATATAAAGTTTAATGAAAAATAAAAAAAATATTTTTGGGCAGGATTGGAAAAAATGTCATAGCTTAATGTAAACGTGCCAATACTTTTAAAAAACCTGGTTCATTTTGAGTTATACATGCAGAGTAATATTGATTTAATATTTAACGCCCTTACAGGTACTACACCTAATATTTGACTAATTTGTTGTACAGATTATTACTCATAGGTATGATTTTCCTTTATTGATATTTCTCATGTCAAAACTAAAGAAAACAAACTGCTTGTACCCATGTATTTTTGTGAATTTGTGGAAATAATCACTTTTGTATTTGTATTAACCCTTTCAATCAAATGTGTTTGGATACCCTTTCGTTGCGTTTTCATTCCCTTAACCGCATTTAAACTGTTTGTTTAACCTGTTATAAAATCTAAAACTTGCATTGATCTGAATTGGTTTGTCCGAAAAAGCATCAGTCATAGACTAACCAAAACCAACACTAATGAAGTGTGTTAAAGGGAGTAACTTATGTATATAAAAATAAAATTGAGTTTTCTCTGTACATTGCTCAGAATTATATATTTTTTTGTTATTTTTACGTTTTATAGATTAAAGAAGCCTAAACAAGTCTTATCTCAATTCCTGTCTGTCACGGCCCAGAAGGCATTTTACGCGGCCCTCTCCTGAAAAAGCGAAAGCATCGATCGGGATTCAAATAGTCTTTTTGTATACACTGAATTGGCGAGAGTGTCATTAGCAATTAAAATATGAGCTCACTACTTTTGAAATCAAATAAAGGCCGTTCAAAACCCCAATTTTGTATGATTTTTGTCAAGTTTTTTGTTAATGTTTACCATATACTTCATTTATGAAATACCTATCTGTTTGGAAAATACGAAATCTATGAAGTAACGAACAGCTGTTCGGATACAGATTATTATTTAGCTGTCACTGGATATATGTTTACATCAAAATGTTGTTTACAAATACTGCAACCATTTCCAATCACGTTTTGTAAGAAAATCCAAAACCAAGTGAGATTAAAAACGCTGTGCCTTACATAACGGATGTTATTAATCACAAAAGTGCAATGATGTGTAACTGTAAATAAAATTAAATTTCTAGGCATCAGTGTGTATCAAATTGTATTTGAGTTTTGATAACCGGGAAGCAGACCCTGAAACAGTGTTGTATACGGAGTTTTGCATGCATATCTGGAAAAATGCACACTAAATATGCAAACCAGCTGCTGTTCTGATTATAAGAAGTTTTTAACTGACTATATGATCATGATCCCGTCCATACACAGCTAGTTTAATCTAACTATGGTTTTATCTATGCTTCAGTGTATGGATGTCGAATAAATTTTTCTGCAAAGACACTAGTGCATTGGACTAATTTACCAGCTGATTATATTTACAACCGATACTCCACTGATGGTTATATCAGCCAATCAACACCTAACGCAATATTTAGCTGTTATCTATGATTATGACGTCACTGAACAGCTGTGCAGGTGCAGTGTCGGGTCGGCCGTGTGCAGGCAAACAGTTAGAAGGACGCAGGGAACAGAGCGGGACATTTCTCCCGCAGCTGAGGGATAACATTGGATATTTCTCCCGAAGCTGTGGGACAAGGAGGGATACGTTTGGTGAACGCGGGATTTTACCATAGTTGAATGGAAACTGGAATCACGGTATTAGTGTTCGTCGGTCGTCCAGCGCGTGTGTATTTGTTGTTACTAGTGTACAATGCCGGTCCTTCCAGACCATGAGGTGGTCAACACAGAAAGCATATCTCCGTATAAGGGTAAGTAATTTTTACTTGTTCTTGAAGAGTTAATGTTGCAATTTTATCTGTACTTTTAGGAAGTGTTATCTCATTCGTCTCGAGGATTCGATCTAAGGGCATAACTATTTTGACAGATTTTAAAATCCGGTATTAAAGGTGCAATATTATCCTGCTTGTTAATTCGTTATTGAATACTATAAAAAGATAATGTATTAAATAAATTGCATTGTCGTGTACATTACTCTATACATTAAATTACTCTAATTTACATTCGAACTTAAGATGCACTTACAGATATGAGATCTGGAATAAAACAGAAACCTTCCAAGTCGTGTGGGATTATTTGTTTCAAATTGTCACGTTTTTACAATACATAATTTGATAATATATTGTGACACCCCTTAGTTGTGTCACAATCAATAACACAGTACATTAGTAGTGGTGTATATTTTAATAATTGTTTGAACTAGGGGTGATTTTTTTTAGGAATTAGGCTATATTGTGTCTGAAAATATATATATATAGGCTGACACATTATTTCTGGAGCTTAACTCAAACATAAAGTGCACAGAACACCAAGTTAACTATACAGTCAACTGTAAGATCAATATTGTACGAAACTATCATTTTAAGTTATTAGAAACATCATAACCCTTTACCGTAATCGTTTATGTGTTTTAATGGACCTAGGTTAAGTTTTTTCCAAAATGGCAAAACTAAAAATGATGAGTTCTAGGACTCTGCTTTCTACTTTTAAAAGGTTGGGGACCTCAACAATGAATTTTATCTATGCAGTTAAACATCTGATTTTTGTGTTAGTATGTATTTGCCATAATATCAGCTGATTCTTCCTTCCCAAACTGTGGAATAATCTAATTTTTATCCAACAAATTCAAATATAATTATTTTAAATAGTTCAGTTAGATGGAGTGACATATTTCGGTTATTTACATTTTTGTGGTTTTATTGGATTATTTATGATCCATTTCAATTATTGTCCAATTATTCACAGCCAAGAGTGAAATACATGTTATTGTTTTACAAGTAAAAGTTCTTACATTTGTCATGCATTTAAATTACGAGTTTAAAGGTAAAAATACGCGTGTGTACTGTGTAAGAATTAAAACAAATTTTCCATTTTCTGGCCCCTTTCAAGCGCATTGAAGAAGTTGGACTGGCCCCTTCAAAAATATAAACTACAACAACTGCTCATCCATGTACGGCTAACCATCTCTACTTGCACTTCAAAAACATGCTTGACCAAAGACAAGTATTAATTGAAATTTATTTAATGTCGTAGAAGTTTTAATGTCCGATTTGTTTACAAGCGGACAGATTCAACAAAAAACCTTTGATATAATTTTTTCTGAAATTTTTTTCGTAATATTACTTACTATACGGTAACTCAAAATTATGAATTCTTATTTCTTCAACATCAATTGAATACATTTTACTAGGACAATAAAATTAAGTACTATAAGAAAGTACGTATTATAAAAATTGGTAAAGAATAAAGATGTTTACTTCAGTTTTTACTTTATTATTCATTTTAGAAACACCAAAATTTATTTTAGTTTATGTACAGGAATAACTCGATGTTACATTTAATACGCTGTTACAAACGGGTGTTAAAGTGTCTGCTGTTCGCATTAAATAATTTCTGCATTTAGGGCTCTACTTTACATTATTTAAATAATGAATTAAAAGTAGTACGACATGTCAAATATACACCCCTTGAAGGCATTTCTCGGCTTTAAAAGATCAAAAATGAATTAATGAATCAGATGTATTTTTGTATCTTTATCAAGTGTTTTTCACGAAATATCTAGTTACATAAGAGCATGTGTTCGATTGCTTCAATTAACATAGCAATTTTTAACTGTACACTAATCCACATTGTTTAGCATTGATATATCTATTAAAAATGGTGTGTGTATTTTGTTTTAACTTTCGAACTATAAAATTTACTTCTGGAGTAGCCTACTTTTCCAAAAAATCTACCATTGTAAGACAAATGAATGAAAAACAACACTATAGGCTAATAACTGATTATTAATATTATAAGTCTCTATAAGTAAAAGAATTATAAGGGAAATAATAAATTAAAAAAAACAAATGGAAAACTTGTACAACCTATACAAATATACATAAAAAAATTTAAAATAAACTGTATTTCCTGTATATTTTTTTACCTTTATTCAAACTATCTTAACGCTTCATATGCATTTGTGTAAAAAATAAATAGAAGTCCTACATAGTGGTGGATCCCCCTTAAATGATAAACTATCAGTTTTGTGTTGATATCTGCAGCATATCATACTGGTATACAACTGCTGTTATCATTATATCTTACAACTAGACTAGTTGAGTAACAATACAACGAAATTATACAACAATGTGTATGTATGTATAGTATAATCACCCAGCTGTTGCACAACTGAACACCGCTTTTGCAAATTACAGGAAAACAGCTGATACTGCTTTGTCCTGGGAACACAACTTATAATGACACACAGCTTAGTATTTGATTTGAATTAAACTCCTTTAATAGCAGGAATATAGGTATGCTTAATAAGGACCTGTATGTATTTGTTCAACTAGAAAATTAGCTACCAATTAATGTAGCCAAAAGTCATACATGCATTTTAAAGCATAAAATTAAATTCCAGAGTTGTTATTTTCTTGTATTGGCATGCACTTCCTTTCCAGGTTGATAATACCTTGGATACCATGTTATATACTTATGTTAAATTTCATATTTGTATGATAACGTGTGACAACAAATCAGAATTCTACTTCTTTTGGGACCACAAAGATTTTAATTGCACATTTATTATTACTTTTATTTTCTGTATTACTTTTATCATATTTTTTATTAAGTTACGAGGCCAAGAATAGTATTTACTTCAGACAATCAGTTTAAATACTGGTAGAAAATGACTCCGGAAAATAAATTATTTTGGGCCAAAATTAAAGAAATTATTTAGATAAATATGAAATATTCAGGAATTTATGCGAAGGTAAATATTCTATAACATTCAATCAATCAACATCATCAAGATAGCCTACTTCTGTTCATACGAGTATATACCATCATATTTTTTATTAATATTAAAAGATTTTATTGGTAAAAGTTGTAATGACATTATAGGTGAAAATTATTTGCATTTCATTAGGACATTTGCTATTTACTTCAGCCTGAAAGATTTTAAAGATTGAAACATACTTTTTAGATTTGATTTGTATTGCAACATGAAGAGTAATATTCTCACTGCTGAATACTTGAGGAAACAACGTTGTTCGCGCCGTAAAAAAAAAACAAGTGTGCCTGGGTAGTGATCCCAAATGTAATGTAAAGAGCAAAGTTATCTGGTGTATTATTAAACTATAGCTTTCGGCTGTTTGACCATCAATTTTGTGATATCTCAACCATATCAACTTGCACACAGTGAAGTAGCTTTTTAATCACAAAACTCACATAATCTGAGACCAGAGTAGTGCAGAAACCACTAGGAAATACCAGTAGTGGCTTCATAATCATTGGGGTAAGGAACCATTCCTGAAAACTACACCTATATAAAACAAATCTTAGAGTTCAGCGTGTCAAATGTAGACTTAAAGTTTCCCTTTTGCCTTCAAATCAAGTCTGATGCCAACAATGCTTTCACCATACCGGTTCCTGAATGACTATAAAAAACTTCGTCAGATATTCAGACTGGCCCAAAACTTTCTACTGTTCGGTATATGTTTGATTTGAATATTACAACTTTTGACAAAATATTAACGGCTAATTATTTAGTTGGTTCTATCACGAGAATAATGATTTTTTTAACGGTTTATTTGTACTCCATTTATGGTGTTGGCTGGTTAAGTTATTCCAGAGGTTATTGCCTACATAAGAAATCATACGCTGAAACCATCACTACTCTAGGAACACATGTAACAACGTACCGATTTCTCAAAAGGGTTGTTAAATTTATTATATAAATCAACTACATTTTCATTAGTTTGCGAACCAGCATGATCAGATTATGGGAACGGGGATTTATAAAAGAACGATTCCAAGTGACACAATGCATTAAGTTTATCAATATTTTATTTAGGCCTAGTTTATAACATTTTTTATAGGTGCAAATTAATTTTGAATTTGATTTTAGATGTTGGTTGCACTTTAGTTTAACACACTTAAATCCAAAATGCAATGAATTAAATTTCAAATGCCATAAACGGATGAGTGATTTAATAATTAAATTAATATTTATCAGGAGAAAGGTTATACCAATGGATATTCTTTGGTTATACTTAACGAATAAACAGACAATATCTCTAGGAATACGATATATCTTTAAAATGTATGTAATACGAATGCGCCCAGAAACACGTAAATTGACTGACTCTATTCCTGGTGATTTCTATGAGAAATAGTACAAAATTGTTGTGGATAGAGACAATTTTGCAGCTTGTAACATTTTTTTAAAGTGTCGACATTGTTGTTATTCTTGAGTGACAACTCATCCCGTACAAATTTATTTATCTCTCACAACAGTGAACAGTATACGTCCAGACATTTCAATCACATGTCAAAATTGTCGCCAGTTAAAAAATAAACATATCAAAGTATTTGGATGATTTTAACCATTGTCTGAGTAAGGTGCTGCAAAACACTGATTTCTGTCACATACGTTAAATGTTTAACCAAACCAAAAGAGTGACTTTTTGTAAACTTAAGCGTCTTTTATGTCATAGCCCAGTAGGCCACTATAGTGTAAAAAATAAGAATAAGGCACAAATTAAATTTCTCATGAAAGGGGCAGTACGACTAAGAGAAAACACCATTCAATGGTTATTTTACCCTCTTTGACCCTATATAACATTGAATGGCCAGCCACAAATAACAATGTAAAACAATAAAATTAAAATTCACTGTTTATCACGTGAAGATTTTTTTATAATTTTGGTAAAATTATTTTCCGTGACCTACGCAGTATTTTAGTTTGAGGCGTATTAGTAAACACCAT